ATATATATATATATATATATATATATATACACTCTTTGATCAAAAGTGATTGGACCCAAGACGATTTTTACGAAGCAAAAGAGAAATCGCGGGATCAAGGGGAGTCGAGATAACGAAAAAGTTGAGAAAAAGAGGATGAACGAAACGAAAAGAGGAAGAAAGGAAAGAAAGAAAGAAAGAAAGAAAGAAAGAAAGAAAAATGGAAAAGAATTACGCGATTATCGCAGAAGGGGGAGGAAGGAGGAGAGAGCGATAAGCCGTCAAAGGGCATTTGCCGCTGCTGGACCAGTCGGATCGTTCTCCCGCGTTAACCACGGATGAGGAGAGGACACAGGGTGGAGAGGCGAAGAAGAAGGGAGAAGGAAAGGGGTAGGGCGCGTTGGGAAGCGCGCAGCAGAGAGAAGAAGAAAAAGGAGAATGAGAAAAAAGCATCGTCAGAGCAGCTAGGTAACCGCCAGGAGTCGAGAGTTATCGTCTGGCGATAAAAGTCGATGGCGATAATAACGGCGATATACTCGTTCTCCCTCCCTCCCTCCCTCTCCCCCGTTTTGCTCCTACCATCAGTGGTTCCGCTGCCCTTCTTTTTCTCTCGTCCGGCCGGGGTGATGCACACTGGTCTGGCCTGCGTCCGCCTGTCTGGCTGTCAACGGGTCGTTGAACCCCCCCCCTGCCCCTCTTATATCCCATCCGACCGGGGTCTTCAAAGCTTCGAGACTTATCGTCGTTTAAATGCAACGCCGCGGTCTCCGCTCCATGGCTGCACGCAGCCGACCGACCCTCCTCTCTTCTTCTTCCCTTACCCCTTCCTACAGCGCTCCACACACGCTCACCACAACGCGCGGCCAAGCACAAAAGTGGGCAAGCAGGCTTTAAACGAGCACGATCCACCGCCGATTCCATCGTCGTCCTTCGCCGACTATTCCAGGTAGATATACGTCGTCCTTCTCCCCCTCCCTCCCTCTTATATACGTCCAGCGGGAGATCGCGATTCCATCTCGATGATGTTCGCGTGTAACTCGATTGTCGACCGTCACCGAGCGTGGCCGCGCCAATGGACAACGGCTCGATCGTCCCTGCGTCGATTAATCATCTCGATGATCCCGGGGGGCGGGAGGGCTATCTCGGTTTGACAAGCGTGCAATTACCTCTCCTCCCTTTCGTGGACCATCCCCTCCCCTCCCCTCTCCTACGCGTCGAAACACGTTCACGATTGCTGCGCTTCACAAAGCGTAGGAGTCGAGCAGTTTTCTAGTCGCGAAATCCTTTCCTCCCCTCGTATCGGCGCACGCGATGAATGGGAGATTCCCCGATGGCGTTAGGGGATAAAGGGGGTGGCAGATAGCGAGCAGATGCGGTGTATTTCCTACGGAAACAATTTAAACGACCGCCGCTACTGCGACTCCCCTTCCCTTTCCCCCTGTTACTGAAGACGAGGCGACACAGGGAGGATGGGATAGTTGGAAAGGGGTGAGAGGGGGCGAAGAAGCAGCGAGGAGAATAAAAGAAAGGCGTGGAGACGGGAAGGAAAGAAGGTGGCTACTAGAAATGGTAATAATAAAATCTGGAGGAGTCGAGAGTTAGGTGTGGTGAGGGAGGGAGGGGGGTCGCGGATGGTGTGGGTGCAGAGGAAGAGGTTGGGGACAGAGGGATAGGTCGGGCGGAGGAGGCGTGAGGACAGAGTATTTTAACTTTTTAAGGGGGTGTACGGGAGCAGTAGGAGCGGAGCAGTTCACTCGAACAGTTTGGTTGGCTTGTCTGCTTGGGGGTGAATCGGGGGTTAGTCTAGACGGGAGTCCCCCGACTTCCACACCGCCTCTCTCCACCCTCTGGTCACCCCCCGTTGCGCGCCACCGTCACCACCACCACCACAGACTCTCTCTCAGACTATGAGCAGACAGGTTGCGACCAATGTCGTAGCAACCCCTCTCCTCGTCTCATTCTCTACCCCTTTCTACTCACACCTTCCCCGATGCACTCGTCCAAAATCTCTTAACCGTTCTTTCTCTTTTTTTTTTCTCGCCTTCTATTTCTCTCTTTCTCTGTACACGGTGTCCCAGGACAACCGATGCAAAAAAGGAAAGAATGGTATTTTTGTTTATCCTGATACAAATGGATTTGTTTGATAATTCTTCGTATCTGGATGGCAGAAGGCTATTATCTTGTGCGTGCTGAAATAAGCAAAAATA